TTACTCATTTGCGGAAACCAAGTTTTCCAGTTGGAATTTTTCTTTATTCTTACATGAAATTAACGTTCGAGTATTTTTCCCAGTTAACTTACATGCAATGAAGAGTTGTTCATTATATAAGTCAGACAAATATATACGACAATAAAACCGAAATCCATCTGTGTTGCATTTATTCCATTTCCTGCACATAGACTCGTATCAAACAATGCTTATTTATGGTCGTATCTGATACGCTAAAGTTGCAAAGTGAACATAATTTTAGCGTGCTTAGAGAGTATAAAGTAAGTGCAAAGCTTCAAATGCAAAAATTACATCAACAAAAAATGAATGGCTAAACTTTGACATAATACAAGTCCTTTATTTTGTGTATACTGTTTTTTGAGGCAAATGAACTGTATACTTCACAAATTGAAAACCTAGTCTTTTTTCACCATACTAACAAATTTAACAGATACTTATAATCTTGAACAAAACTCCAACCATGTTTCATTGTCACACGATGATGAGGAATATTTCATAAGGATCTTGAAAGATTTCACTGTTGAAAGCAATACCAAAATAATGAAAAAGAAAAAAAGAGTTTTTGATAACATGCATGGCTCTGCTCTACGTACATCAGAAATAAAAATAATCATTCAAAAATGCTGATATCAACAAGTTGAACAACACTTTTTTTGTCTTTAGCATGGAAGCAAATGTACATGTAGCATTTCAAGTTTACATTTGAAAAACTCGACTTTACTAACTTATCATACAGCGCAGTAACTTGTGGCTGGAGTTTAGTTCAGTGATCCAGCTAACTTGGATAAACTCTCTGCACCAACATCACATACACTGTATCAAGGTGATCTACTGAATAAAGAACAGAGCAAAGCGCTATTTAAATAAAAAATAATAAACAGGTTGTTGTAACTTGCTCTACGTGCTATGAGACAGCACTAATGTCACGCCCTGAATATGCTTGCAGTTAAATTTTCATTAGTTACTTTTTCTTTTTCCTTTGTTTTTGTGTATGGTAGTGCATGGAAGAAAAAACAAAAATTAACCGAAATAATAAGCTGCTTGCAACATATGCCTGTAAAAAGGTGTCCTCCTTTCCTATAACATGTAATAGACATACTCCCACACATAAGATACAAATTATACATCATGCTGTGTACTAAAAAAAGAGGAGGGAGGCCCCAAAAGCTCTAAAATTTTGAATGCCGATCATTCACCTGTACACATGCACAATGGTAATAGACTCAGTTCAACCAACATTTATGGTATTAAAGCACATGTATCAGTTGTGTAATCCAATCAGCAAGATCAAAATTGATAAAACATACAGTGATTTTGTTATGCCAGAGCTCAAAGTAACAGCCGGTCAATGTGTAATGTCTGGCCAAGAGAACCCATTTGTCCAGACAGACTTTTAGTTGCCTGGTCATTTTAACCAATCAGGTGCATGGCTTTTAAACAAATAACTGAAGTTGTACTACTAGTCTACATGAAAAATTTCTGTAATTTGATTGGCTTAGAGCAGTGGTATTTCAGCTTAATTTGAAATACCTACACTGTACATGTGAAAATTACAGACCCTTTGCGGGTACTAGTATTCACAAATAATAACATAGTCTGTACATGGTATTTGGCATAACACTCGTGATATTTCAAAATTGTCTCAAATTTTACCCGCCGAACGGTTCATGAAATTATGTACAACTGTATAACAATTTCTAAATATCACTCAAACCTTCAAGGAAAACAAATAAACGTTCGAGTGATCGGGAGTTCAAGTTATTGGGAGCTCGAAGAAAATAGCCGGAAGTAAGGAAAAAACAGTTTCTATTACAAAGTGAACATTTAAATCACATTCAGTTGCAGAAATTTTAAGTTAAAATTGAAAGATACTTCTAGATTATAAATCGGAACGAAACCATTGCCTAAATAGAGTATGCGTTTCACTGGTTTGAGAGATAAAGCTGTTTCATGTTAAATTTGTGACAAACAAAATAGCCTTCACTAGTAAACTGTAATACATGTATGCCTACAACACGTAACTGGGAAATTCAAAATTTAACGTTTCAGACGTCAGAGCACCGTTTTATCACTACTTTTTAAAGGGACAGTGTCCCGATTGTGCGCACGCGCGAGCGTCATCTGTTTTTTCTTCAAAAGACAATAGAACTGTCATATTGACTCGACAAGATTTCCTTCTGGACCGCACCGCCGACAGAGATTTGTTGCTTACATTCTCAAGTAAAATTTTAGACTTTCGAAGAAGTTTTTCATCTTATTTAAAATTTGGCTCACAGCACGAAGACTCATCGCGATTTTGTCGCTAGCAGGGCCGCCTCGCGACCCGAAAATCTCGTTCTGCTCGCTTTAAAAACACCTTTTCTAATGTGACACTCGTGTCAGAGGTCAATTGATTCACGTCCAGTAATATTTGCCTGATTTGCTCGCGTTCTAGCCTCAAACGTTTGAAAGATATAAATAAAAATGCAATCTCAACGCGATGAATTATCGCAAAGGTTAGTCAAAAATTATATCATGATTTCATTGCACTAGGCATGTACAGTCTGTTTGTTTGATTTTGTCGGCCGTAGGGAGGTTCATTTAAAAGTTTACTAACGCGTCGTTGCAAAACATGCCGCTACACGAAGCTTAACTCCACAAGATCTCCTCAGTCACATCCATGTCTCAATGGTTTCTTTCTTACAGTCTCTATTGTTGCTGTTTCATTTCTTCGTATTCCTTTCACAATTATCTGAGCTTGTATGGAAGCTGGCAGAAGAAATAAGCTTTCAATCGGCATCAAAGCGCTTCCCATCTTGTGGTCCTCCGGGAGCGGCAATAAAAGAAACGCAAAAAATCCCGATTTCGCCCAAATCGAAACTCAGCGGGGACAACATATCATTGATCTGTAACCCTGAGAAGGTTTAGTGGAGTATCGAACTCGGCCAAGCGCGATGCAAACGGTTTTTTCAAGGTTCTCTTACTCTCCACGAATCTTTTGATTTCGCGACATCCTGTCCAAAAATCAAAGTTTGGTGCATGCGCAGTAACCGGATACTGTTCCTTTAAGGCTCAAAACATGGTTCAAGTTACCGGGAGTAAAATCATGTAGAAATGATCTGAGGGGAAAAGAAAATGAGTTTGAGTTAGTGGGAGGTTCGAGTTACGGTGGGTAAAATTACCGTAAATGTACAGTATGACAGAAATCCAGGGGAAACCGATTTTAGTTTGAGTTAGTGCGAGGTTTGCGTTAACAAGGGTTCGAGTTATCGGGAGTCAACTGTAGGTTATATACACCATGTACGACAATAAAACGTTCCACAAAGATCTAAGGTAACTCTAACCCTCGATAACTCAAGCTCCCGCTAACTCAAAGTAATTTTTGTTTCCCGAATCCCCTCAGATCATTTCTATACAATTTTACAGCTTGCGCTTAAAAAGTGGGAAAAACAGCGTACAGGCGTCTGAAACATTGAATTTCTCATTGATGTATTGTACGGATAGGGTTTACCGTGGAGGCGGATGCTATTTGTCACAAATCTAACATTGTGAAACAGCTTTACTTCTAAAAACAGTAAGAGGCATGCTCTATTTTGGCTATGTTTTGTTACGTTACGTTCTGTTTTATAATCTACATGTAGAAGTATCTATTATTATTTTCACTTAAAATTTCTACAATTAAATGTGACTAAAATATAGGGCTGTATAAAATAACGATTCATATTCCTTTCGTTTTGATTCGCTTTTGTAATGCGTCATGTAAACAACATGCAACCAAGGCTGTGCTTTAAGGAAAATTGAAGGGCGCCCAATGCTCTGAACCTGTAAAATCCAGGGTACCCAGCATATGATTTGTATGAAAAATCTGAGATTTTCTAGTCGCCCAGGAGCAAAAGTTGGGTGCCAGGGGCCACCGGGCTCTGCTAGAGCACGGCCCTGGCAACCGTGAAACCCTCAATTTGAGAATAGTAACAGGGACAGGAGGATTCATTGACATAGTCGATTGGTTGTTCATTGCCATGATTGAGAACCTGACAAAGAGTATGTCACACATGGCTTGCTTCTTATTTGGAAGTTCTCAGTTGAAAGACAGCATTTTTACCAGGCAACACAAAATGGCGCATGAACTGCAATTGCCTTTGCTCAATCAAAAATGCACATTTTAAAGAGTTCTGGATTCTGATTTCACAATATAATAACGTACTGAGTCCACCCTGGAAAAGGTACATGTATGCAACCCTCCAAGTTAAAGCTTTTGCTTGGTCACCATTTGACAACAAACTCTTTTGGTTTAGGGAGGCTTTTTTATAAATCAAGTCGCCAGCTACAAAATGTTAGGCGCCATGGCGACCAAAATGGTCCCAACTTTACGGTGGCCCATAAGGGACAGCGCTACAAACTTAAATTAACACAAATTACAAAAATATACTACTGCAAACTAAATCAAATACACTACGAATAAAATTAAACCAGCACCGCAGTATGAAAAATAGAATTCACTCCTACACAATAAAGTGAAACGCTACACACCGAATAAAAAAAATCAACCGCACACTGCAAATGAAAAGAATAACGCACACCCCAAATCAAGTGAAAAAACTCACTGCAAACAAAAAGCCAAGGCACGCTGCAAATGAAAGGGAAATAATCTATGCGTAACACAAATTACAAAAATATACTACTGCAAACTAAATCAAATTCACTACGAATAAAATTAAACCAGCACCGCCAAAGAAAAATCAAATGCACTCCTACACAACAAAGTGAAACGCTACACACCGAATAAAAAAAATCAACCGCACACTGCAAATGAAAAGAATAACGCACACCCCAAATCAAGTGAAAAAACTCACTGCAAACAAAAAGCCAAGGCACGCCGCAAATGAAAGGGAAATAATCTATGCGTGCGCATTTACGCGTGAAGGCCTGAGACCGAGTAGTAAGCTCAAGTTAGCTCGCTTTTATTGAAAACAAAAGAAAACAAAATGGCGTAAGTCGAAGACTTAAGCAGCTCAAGCGAAGACGAATCGGCTGAAACAACTTTAAACGACGACTTACCTGGAGGTTCTGAGCGAGATGTAATTGAATATTACTTTTACAGGGGTCTTATAGGCATATTACTCTGATGTTGGAAAAGCAACATAATATTATCTTGAATCAGCGAACTCTCAAGCGAAGGCTGAAAGATTGTGGACTTAAGAGACGTGAAACAGTAGATGAGGAGCTCAAGGAACGCGTCGGGGATCTTATTGTACAAGAAATATGCACTGGTCCTGATAGCCTCAGTGGCTACAGGACTATGTGCATGTCTTGCGCCTAAGACACCGGATTAATGTTCCTCGGCGATTAGTAGAGTCACTGTTAAGGGAGGTTGATCCTAGGGGAGTGGAACACAGAAAGAGCCGTTGTCTTCAGCGCAGAACGTATGTGTCACCTGGACCCAACTATTGCTGGCACATGGACGGGTATGATAAACTAAAGCCTCATGGCTTTTCTATTCACAGCTGTGTAGACGGTTTTAGTCGAAGAATTCTTTGGCTTGAGGTGCAATGATCGAACAAAAATCCAAGGTGTGTTGCAAGCTATTTTGTAAAGCACGTCAAAGCAGCACATGGATGCCCAGTGCGTGTTTACACTGACCCTGGCACTGAAAACGGTCTGGTTGCCGGAATACAGTGCTATTTGAGGGCTGAGGGATTGGATGAATACGCAGGATCGAAGTCTCACAAATATGTCAATGGTCACATTACAGGAAATAACGTTCAAGTTGGTGGATGGACTTCTTTTATGACCTTCACGAGTCTGACATTCTTGATCTGACCAGTGACTTGCACAAAGAGGCAATTTGGTTTTGTTTCGCTGATTTGCTTCAGACTGATCTGGATGAGGTGAAGGAATATTGGAATCCGGATCAGGAAGTCAAAGCATACCACTGTATCTGGTGTTGCCGACATGATGTACTTCCTGCCCGAGGATTTTGGAGACAGCGACTGTTTGGTTCCAATCTCGCCACACAAGCTCACAGAAATGGAAAATAGGTTTGAGGGGTTCGATGGTGAGGATGATGAGTCCAACCCAGTTTTCCACGAGTATTTTCAATACGTCATGGACAATAATGGCTTATCCCACCCCACAAGCATTCATGAAGCTGGAGTCCTTTTTGAGAAGCTTATCAAGTTTGCAAAAGGTGAACTCTAAATTACTTTCCTTTTGTGAACTGGGAAATCACTTCCACAAGGAGTCTTGTGTAGAATGGCAGGAAGCATTAACAGTACTTAATGCACTACTATTACATGCAGCCCAACTTTAATATGATTTTCTCGCACATAAAAACTGTAAACGGTGAGGGCAGCCTCTTGGGTGGCATAATTGGGTATCATTCCTCTTTCCAATTGTTATGAAAGTTCTGGTTTAAATTGGCTGATACATGATACTCACAGCTGTCTTCTCTTTCTTCAACATATTGATTGAAATAAGCCATTACAGCTGTTTCCTGTAGTCTCTTTGTTGGTCCTGACTCTGAGTATGCAGCTGTTAATGAGTTCATCAAAAATGTAGATGTCACCTGCATACAAACCAAACCCTTTAGTCAGTCCATTAACTTTGGGAATTCAGTTGAGAAACAATTAGCATGCACTGTTATATAGTAATTATTATAATTTAAACACAGAAATTATACATCGTGACTCATTTTAACCAAATACTTGCACATCAATAAACTGAAATGCTTGTCTGTTATGGCAAAAATCTCTCATCTTAGAGAGAAACAAACACAGCAGAAACAATGAAAGGAAGGGATCAAGGCAGGGATATAAGAAAAGTTTACAAAGATTATAAACAATAATGCACATATTATCCAGAAACCTCTTGCATTATAATCCTCTCCTGGCACAAAGAGTTTCTCCACGAGTGATGGGTGTTCTTCCATCATGGCCAGGCACCCGTGCAGCTTAAGTCCCTCCCTCATCTGGTCTAGTTCAGCTTTCACCCTCATAATTGTGTTTTGAAGTGTTATAACCCTGAAAACAGAATCCCTACATGTAGTTAGTTCTTACGGCTAGATAATCAGTACTTAGCTGCACATGTCATATTATTGAATTAAGGCATGTAATCATAACAATCTATCTATTGCTGTCCAGGATTCCCCTCAATGGCTGCATGTTGTGTTTGATCCCATAAGTTAACACACAGACAAAAGGTTCTGTATATTGATTAATCCATGCAAAAAAATTTAGTAATTTCATTGAAAGTTTGGGAGAATCATAAGATTTAGCCAAAGTAAATAACAGCTGACAAAGGACACAAAATGAAACAGCTCTAAAAAAGACAACAATAAAACATATCTTGTGATACTGTACTGGTCTGTACATTGTACCTTACAATAGTGTCTTTTTTCTCCAAGGAAATTGTGGATGTAAAGCCAGTATTCATTAAAACATCCATGTTTGCATCATCTTGGAAAATGGCCTGCAGTTCTTCTTTACTGTTCACTTCTTTTACCTGGTGACATATCATTTTCAGAATTGGTTTAAAATTTCAGGAGGCGCAAAACAGTTTTCAGTACTTTCTAGCTCTTATTTAAGCAATAGACCACACTTTCTATGGGTTTACCGGGGTGATAACCCACGCGGGATGTTGAGATAACACGAGAAAAGCTTGTAAATCACGAGCCCAAGGCGAGTGATTTACAAGTTTCTCGAGTGTTCTCCCAACATCCCAAGTGGGTTATCACGCCGATAAACCCATAGAAAGTGTGGTCTATTGCTTTTATAAAATAACTTTTAGTAGAAAGGAGCCTTTTAGGTAAATAATGTGGTTTTAGTACCGTCATCAAGCCATGTCTTCTCTCTGAAGTCACCATAAGCCAATCATGATTCACGATTTAAAAGCGCCGAACTTTCTCAAAACTCAGTTCAGTCAAACAACAAACTGCAGCACTTCAAAACACGAGGTTTTGCTCTCATTACATGATAACTTATGAAAGCTGTTTTTCAGGAAAAGTCAACACATGTTCAAGGTACAATGAAGTTCGTTTACTACAGAAGTAGAAAATTGAACATCACGCTGTACGCAGCTGTATTTAGTTGAGTCGATCCATAAACATTTCGCGCTTACAGACGAAACTGGCAGCTGTTGTAATGGAGGACTTCATTCACTTTTTACAAGCTGCAGTGGCTTAAGATCTGTTTTCTGGACTTGATCATGATCAAGAAATGTTGCGGTAACGACGTTGCTGCATTTGCGAAGTTGTCGCATGTAACGTATGTATGTACAGCGACCGATGGAAATATGTCAGTGGTAGCTCTAAATTTGGAGAAATGTTTCTATGTCGTAGCCACTTATTAGCGTTAATATTTGTCGATTTGTGAAGTCAGGTGGTTTGAAGTAGGTTATGGCATCGATATTACCGAATAATTTGTGCAGATGTTGGAAAAAAACCAGCGCGAAACTCTGACATCTTTCATCATTCGAGGGTAAATAAAGTTTATTGATTTGATTTGATTGATCATCGTTTACAGCTTGTTTACAATCTGCAGTGGCCGATTTTGTACGATAACCTGATCAGATATCTCTTTTCGGAACAATTTCTTTCATTCAGGAATTTAATTTTAACATAAAATAAATAAAGAATGCTAAAACTATCCGTTTTGCTGCTGGTTGGCACATGGTTAAGCTTTCCTAAAGACTTTCTACACCAGAAATTCACACAGTTGTTGTCTTTCTCTGCGATTTGGCATCGTCGTGAAATGTAAACTGCTTTCCAGCTTTGTACTTTATAACTTTTAAAGTAGCGAATTGTGATGCTCTTTAATAAAATGTGGAAACCAACACTTTTTAATATTAAGAAGGGTTGGGTAAGTAACTTGTTCTGTGTTTTATTCTTTCTAAAATTGTTGTTTGCAAATCAATAGCCCGTTTTGTTTATGGCTCGTGTTCCGGATGCCTTTTTCCATGGGTTTACCGGTATAATAAACCATAGGTTTTTGACCAATCAGATGGCGCGTACTATCTCAGTTATTTTATAAAGTTTGATGGGTCAGTGCTACAAACATTTATCAGTTACCACAACAAAAATGGTATCAAACAAATGCCCAATCATTGATAAACAAATTGTGGTTATTTTCTTGACGTCACAAGTTTAAACTGCTCCGGAGAAATTCTTTTAATTTTGCAAAAAGTTGTACCTTAACATGCTGATCATTATTCAATAGTACAAATGGGGGTCACCTTACTCGTTTTTGAGTTATAAGCACTTAAAGCTAAAATTAAGGGTATTTTTAACGGGTTATAACGTTGCCATGGTTACTGTTGGCGTCAAGAAAATAACCACAGTATGTTTATCGATGATTGGGGATTTGTTTGATACCATTTTTGTACCAGTGACTGATAAATGTTTATTATTATAGCACTAACCCATCAACGTATGCGAGCCAGAATCTGCTGGAAACTGTTGTGAGCCTCCTTAAAAGTCTTAGGTTTGTTAAGTTCTTATACATGTATCTATTGCATACTTTGAGTATCTTATTTTGCTGTTTCTTAGCATTAAAATGGCTGCAAATGTCATCCGTTAGTGTGAGTTTGGGAAAAAGGTTAAGTACTGCCATCAACGTTTGCACGCAGCAGATCTTTAGCATGAATTTTGAAAGTCTTGCTTGGAGTTTCAACACCTGGGACCCCGCATTTTTATAGAACCCAGGACCCCCTACCCCACGTTATCCACGATTAAACAACCCTCCAAGTTGCAACCATTTTAGTCACCATGGCTTCCAGAGCTTTAGAACTGGCGATTATAATATTGTAGAAGGTCGCCATCCCTGCCACTACAAGAAGACTACTCTGGAGCTTGAAAAACTGTCTTATGAATCTAAAACATTCCTGTATGTTATGGATTCACTTTGAAAAATTCCATTTAAAATAAAGTTTATTTATAAATGTATGTAGTTGTGCTAATATTAAAAGCTAATGGGGAGCAGTATCGCGACATTACTGGGTTTTGTATACTGATCTTTTTTCTTTTCATTTCTTTTGTTGAGTTTTTTACTTGGGAACTGTTTCAAGGTAAAATATCCTTTCATTCACACTTTTTGGCGGATACATCCACAGATACAAATTTTGGCATTTTTTTTTTTTGGCGACTTTACCGAAATCAGTAGTCGCCAAATGGCCACTACGGGAAAAAATTAACTTGGAGGGCTGACTAATCCTTTTGGATGTGCCTAATTGACCTAGGCATGTTAAATATATCCGAGTTCCTTCAGCTAGTCTCATATCAAAGATTAAAAAATATGTTGCCTACCAGTTCTTTGATCTGAGGTACCA